ATGTTATATGTACAAGCTAATATACTGGCACGGAAATTTGGTGCATGCTCGGTGGGAGTAAAACTGGCTTTGTTTAAAGCGTATTGTACTTCCTTGTACACTGCTCATCTGTGGTGTAATTATAAAAAGGGCAGTCTTCGGAAACTGTCAGTAGCTTACAATGACGCCCTAAGGATATTATTGAGAAAGCCTAGATGGACGAGTGCAAGTGAATTGTTCGTGTCATCTCGAGTTAGTACATTTTCTGCTGTTTTAAGAAACCTGATGTTTAAATTTATTTGTTGCTTGAATGGTTCAAAAAATCATATCATTTTATTGTTGACTGATGTTGCACACAGTGACATGCGTTTTACTTCGGTTCTCTGGAAACACTGGTATGCCTGCCTTTTCAGGGGCAGTAGTTTTATGGGTGTTCTTTTTGTTCTCGTTTTTATGTATTTTCAGTCTTTATTGTTTCGTTTTAAACTGTTCTTTTATTGCTTTTATTTGTCTCTGAACCTGGACCTTGAGTCTGTAATAAAGTGTCATTCATTCATTCATTACTGATTTACTTGTATATTACTGATTTATATTGCTGATTACTGATTTATTTCTGTTACTATTGATTTAATCCGAAATGCTATTTACTATCGTCTATTTACAAATGATAGTAAATAGGATGAGATTGTTTTCATCCATAGTAAAATAGATGACTTTTCATGATGACTCCAATGATACTACAAGTTCTATAGCCAATTTTTAATGCCTAGTTACTTTTCACCTACCCTGTATATTACATACATTTCAACAAAACAATTTGATCAATCTCTGCACTGAAAATATAAATATTAGTAACAAGTCATTTACATTGCCTTGTCTTGTCTTTAAAACTCACCTGACTTCTTCATGATCTGTTAAAGGACAATACACAGTATACAGGATTGTAGTAACTGTAGTAAGTTTTCATTACACTGCTGTGGAGACACTGGTGTGGTCGCGAGATGAAAATGAGGTCCAGCAGTGTGTTCTTCTCTGTGGTTACTGCGGTGATGAATTGTGCATATCGCCTAGAGGTGAACAGCTCCAGTATTGGCTTGCTAGCATTAGACAGAAGATTTTCATTGAAATCACCACAGACAATGATGGGGTGAAAATCCATGATTTTAAGTCTGTCCAGTAGACTTCCCAGGTTTGACAGGAATGATGGCAAGCTGTAGTCCAGAGGTCTGTATACAACTGCAATGAGTGCACTTGCTGGGGCTTCAACCTTCAAAGCTATAAACTCAAGGTCAGTTACATTATGTATGTATTGTTTTTTGTACACATAAATGTGGTCTCTTACATAAACAGCAACTCCACTACCACCTCTATTGGCCACTTGTGGAAAATTTGAATAGGACAGATGTCGGTTGTGTTTTATCAGCTTGTAACCTACCAACTGCAGATTTTCACTGACAAAGGAGCCTTGTAGGTGAGTTTCTCTGAAACACAAAACATCTGCCAGACACAATTCATGATGACTCTTGATGTCACTGACATGAGACGGCAGTCCTTCTGTGTTATGGTGAATGATGGTCAGAGTGTCAGGTCTACTCAGTGTTTGTCTGATCTGAAGAAGTGGCATCATGTCATTCATGTTGGCTTGTCTCATGGTCTCCAGGGCTGATGTGATTGCTGGGCTTGAATAAAACCGTGTCTCATCCATGTCCAGTCGGTGCAGTCCACTGAGGGATGTCACTCTGCTGGAAGCCACGTAAGCCATGCCAGGTTCAAAAATGTGCTTCAGTGAGATTACAACTGATGTTGTTGTCATTCCCTGAACCTTATGTATTGTACAAGCAAAGGCCAGCTTGATGGGGAACTGTCTGTATACCACTCCTCTCTGTTTCAGGTTTTCCTCTGCTCTCTCTATGTATACTAGATTGCCAGGTGCACCTGGTGCTCTGTGATGACTGTTCATTCCAGCTGTTTCATTGTCCATCTTGAGTCCAAGCTTAGTGACATGTGTCGTGGCTAGAGTGTGATACCGACTAAATTAATTCAGACAAACCATTACAATTTAAAGGATCATTTATTCAGAATAATTGTAATATTAGAGTAGTATTTAAACACATAATCTTGTAGTTAGGGAACAGAGATCAGAGAACAGAGACTCTCCTCTTGCAATGGAATAGATAAAGCATAAGAGAATTGTCAGAGCACCAGTCAGTCAGGTCAGTCATTTGTTGTCAGTCGGTTCCCCTGTCAGCCCCAGACAGTCGTCGTCTCCCCCCGGCCCTCCGAGGCCGGGCTTGTGGTACACTGTTCACGGTAGCATGGTCATCCTCTCTCTTTCAGGCTCACTCTTTTATCAGCAGCTTCCCTTAGGCTGTTGCGTCAATTTCTGAACCTAGATTCCTGTCTCCAGTTTCGGGAGACAACACCCTGAGATGTACTTCAAAAACAGGAAACATCTTGGCCAACTTATATAACCTTATTGTTCAGCTCACATGAACTTAATGAACCCATAAACACTTAGCTCACCCTTACACAACTAGTACAAATACTATCTATATATGAACTACATACTGTTCTATTACATATTCCCTCTGGAACCTTGTTTATTTTTATCCACTACAGTCCCCCCTCCCATAGTTTTTAGACTATGGGACTTCGGAGCTCAAAATATGGAAAATCAAAAAATGACCATGTTTGCCTGAGACTTTAACGCCTCTAAACTCTAACAG